AATCTACAGGTCCAAAAATCTTCTGTTTTAGCTTCATATGCTTCCCAGTCTATGGATTTCAAGTTGAAGTTGCTGACTATCAACAGTAGTGATCTATCGTTATTCGCTCTCGCTATAACCTCTCTCATTATTGTTATAAGACCTTCTCGTTTACTATCTAGCTCCTCTTTTGACCATGTGCTGCTTGGCGGTGGACTATATGCATTTATCATCATTTAGTTTATCATCCTCATGGCAGATCTCTAGTGCTATTATGTCAACTTCTTGTGGATTGGCAGTCATTATTTCCTTCACCTTTAGGTGTTCTTTTACCAGCACAGCAACGCCACCGCCTTTCCTAATTTTTCTGTCCCGTCTCTAAATTGAGTAGCCCCTTGAGAATATAACCTCATTTAAAATAAAATCTTCAAGTTTTGTCTCCGTGAGTGCAACAATGTCTGGTGTCTGCAGCTGTATTACATCACTTAACTCTAGTATCTTCGATCTCACTCCATCTATGTTGGTGTATGCAATCTTCAGGAACTTGTTCCCCCTCTCCTTATTCTTCACTCCCCCTCTCTCTATTGATTTTGTTGGTTTGCCTTTATGTACCACTTTACTGGTTTGCCTACCCCTAACACTTTGTAGAAAAAAGAATTGATTTCTTCTTCATTCCTGCTCTCATTTAAACGTTTTGCCTTGGTGAGGTTCAGTTTCAGCTTCTCTGTCTTCTTTTGAAAGATCTCGTCTTAACGACCACTTTTTCCCATCCTCATCACTTTGCAATTTTCTAGCATTCCATAGTACTTCTTCCATCTGTTTGGCACCGTTTAGGGTGATCCTCAAAGGTCGATCTTTCCCTTTTACGTACCTGCCTATTCTCCTGTAGTCGCACACATTCTCTATGGTTGTAAGACCTGCTACGAGGCCAACAATTTTATCTACTACTTTAGCTTCTTCGACAGCTCTTTCTGACCTAGATGTTATCTCCTTTTCTTTGCAGCCAAAAATGATCAGGGACTTACTCCGATCAACTGTGTTTTGCACCAACTTTGGGTTAGATGCCAATTCTTTCCTCACTTCTAGCCTAATGTTTGTTTTATCTCTATTTTTTCCTTCTCCTTGGCCACTTGCGCATAAGTGAGTTGCATATCTTTCTTGCACTGTTCTATTCCCTGTGTAACTTCCTCCATCTGTGCTGATAAAAGCTGTTTCTCCTGTTGAAATTCCTTACCTAACCTATTGTAGTCATTTATGTTTAAATTTACTTTAACTTCTTCCAAAGCTATTTTTAAGAGTATTTTCTTCTTCCATGGCTTTGCAATTTGTTTCCAATTGAATCTTATCCTTGCGCAAGTCTTTCACTACACCCTCAAGACATACAACTTTGCTATTTAACACTTTGGCGTACCCCGCGCGCCACCCCTCAACTGTGTGATATGGGACCCAGGGTGTCATTGGAGGGCGCGTAAATTCTGAAAAGTGTATACTCTCTTCAACTTTGTCACCTTAATTCTCATGCTACGAGATTAAATTTTGTATCATTGTGTTCGCAATAGAATTCTCTACAGCACTAAATGCATATAAACTCCAAAAGCCCGGCTAATTACCCGCAGCAAACGGAGAAAGTGCGAACGAGTTACCCAGGAGCGTGCAAACGCGATAAAATGTTTTCACCATTTTCACTCTGGTTACCTCAATTTTCGTCCTAGGTCTTTCATTTTGGTCTTAATGGGTTCGCAATAGAATTCTCTAGAGGAACATTAGCATATAAAATAAAAAACCTGGTCACGCTCCAACCGCCTACGAGTTGAAGACGGGCCACGCGTAAGCTGCAAGTGAGCGCTCAGACGCCTTCCAGCTACACTCCCAATTCCCGCCTTTTCAAGCCTTTCTTTCGCAATTTTCTTCCTGGAAGGGCCTTGTTCATGATCACTATCCATCGTGGAGTAAGCGTAGATAGTTTCTAAAGCCGCAGTAAGAAATATAACCACGGAAAATAGCCGAAATGTTGACACGTTTGAGATGTAAGGGGAGGCGACATTGGTCACAACAGTGGAGCGAAAACAATGGGCCCACGGCGTGTGCCAAGCCGCCTGAGGGCCACGAGGCTCAACAAAGAAAATGGGAAGACATCGGCGCGCATTTTAAAACCAGTCCCAAAATAATCGGATAAAAACCTGATTTTTGGCGATTATTTAAAGTGGATGACGCAATGCTGCGTCATCCCCAGCATTACCGACAGTAAACGGATGACGCAATGCTGCGTCATGCCCGGGCGAAAGTGTTAAATGGTCATTACTTTCTTTCAATTTACTAATTATTTCTACATGAGAGTTCACTATAGTATCTAAATTTACCAACTTGTTATGTAGACTTCTAATATCAATGCCTTCTTCATTGAATCCCTCAAAATCAAGCTCTGTTTTGTTTTTCCTCTTGCTGGTGGCCATCTTGAATGTTGTTCTCTGCACTGGAAACACTAGGGGTAACTCTCTCATCCACTATTTCACTTCCCTTGGCACATTCCTGTTATCTCACCTATTTTTCAAGAGCACTATACCTTTATGTTCTCTGGGACACCACTCACTATCATCAACCTGTACTACAATACTTAGGATTGTTGAAATATGCTGGAGCTCCTCTGCTGCAAGTGTTGACCCTTGGGGTTTGACCTTTGGGGTTGGTCCCTTAGTGGCTCATTTGCTGGATTCTCAGGGTTTGGCTAACCATGAAGTTCATGTCTGGGGTGTGTCCTGCATCCTGGCGGACAGCTGTCTCGGTTCATTCCTCTGTTCGCAGATGGGCCAGTCATCGCCGACTCGTTTCGTTGGCTCTGCCGGATGTATGAACTCCTGGCCATGAACGTCTTCGAGTCGGTGTGGTCTAGGTGTCGCCATTCTATGTGGCGCCCTTACCCGCCTGTGAGGCGTTCACGGTGGATACCTTTCGGCGGGACTGGTCGAGGGGGGGGGGTGTACCTGTTCCTCTTCTCCCGGTCCAGCTGTTGCTTCGGGTTCTGGCTTGGTTGGAGCCCATTCCCACAAGTCCTTATGGTCTTTGGGGAGCCGGTCGGCCGAGCGGACAGCACGCTGGACTTGTGATCCTGTGGTCCCAGGTTCGATCCCGGGCGCCGGCGAGAAACAATGGGCAGAGTTTTTCACCCTATGCCCCTGTTACCTAGCAGTAAAATAGGTACCTGGGTGTTAGTCAGCTGTCACGGGCTGCTTCCTGGGGGTGGAGGCCTGGTCGAGGACTGGGCCGCGGGGACACTAAAGCCCCAAAATCACCTCAAGATAACCTCTCAAGATGGTCCCTTTGTGGCCGGCCCAGCTTTATTTTCAGACGCTGCTTGATAGGTGTCCGAACCCAGGGCGTTTTCCCACAGCTCCGCCTCTTTCAGCATGTCGGATCGGTCCTGTACATGACTGGTTCGGCCTTCTCCTCGGCTCTTCGCATCTGGTGTTTTGACGCGGGTATCACCATCTGGTGATACCTGTGTCAAAATCACTTCGCATCTGGTGTATCACCGCGGGTATCAGGCGGAGCCGCTTCGGCTTGCTTTCGGTCTTGGTGTTACATCTGCGCCGTTCGTAAGCTGTCTCATGCGTTGTACATCTGCGCCATTCGTAAGCTGTCTCGTGCGTTGTTTTACCTCCAGTCTACTCGTGCACTGCTTGAGCGGTCGTGGTCTTTGGACTGCGTGCTTTTTCGTTTCAATTGGTTGTGACCCCTTTGGTTCAGGTTTGTTTCTGGAAGGGTCTTTTCCTGTTGGCATTTGCCTCGTAGGGTTGGGTCGCTGAGCTTCTTGCTCTTCCACGGCGCAGGGTTTTCTGCTCCTTCGGTCGTGGCGATTGGTTTGTTCGGTTGCAGCTGTCTCCCTCTTTTCTAGCACGGGATGAGGCTGCTGCTTTCTGGAGGGGCCCTTAGGTTGTTGGTGCTTGGTTGGTCGGGCTGGGGGTGCATCGTGTTTTGTGTTCGGTTGCAGCCCTCTGCTGTTGTTTGCACGCTACGGCTTGTGTGTCCTGGATGCGCTTTGGGTTGATCCATTTCCGTTCTTCCCTGTTAGCGGGTGAAGGTCTCCCTGGTCGTCCTCCGTGTTCTTGCGGCTAGCCAGCCTGTGTTCCTTCCCCCGTGACCCTGGCGTTTGTGGGTTCGCTGCTCTTGCTGCCGTCTTGGCTGCATGTCCAAGCTGACATTCGGGCACGGGGCTTTTGGCGGTCGTACTGGGGCCTGGCTGTTCGATGTCTCGTGTCGTTCCCAGGCCCATTAGGGCCTGTGTCGCCTTGGGTTCGCGGTTGCAGCCAGTTATCTTGACTTTGAGTTGGGGAGTGTGTGGCGACCTCCTCCCGGGTACATCCCTTTTTTTTTTCCTCTTGGGTAGTTAAAAAGCACCTCAAGGTAGTTAGCTCTGGGATACCGAAGGGACTCCCCCCAGAAAACCAGCGTTGAATGTAATGAAACACCATTTTCTGGGTGAGACCTGGAGGCTCCCCGGCATCCCTCCCTCCCTCCCGGTCGGCGGTTTTTCGCATTTTTGATATCCAGCCTCAGAACTGATGGTGGATAGCCAGCGCGGTAGGTCTGGGGCTCCCTCTTCCCCCTCCCGGGAAGGGGGGGAGCTGCGCAGACAGCGGCACGGCGACGTGTGACGTCATGATGGTTTGCTCGTTTCTTTTAGGGGAGTTCTATTCATCCGTTCGGCTTGTGGTAGCAATTTTCACCAAAATAGGGGTTTGTTTTGGGACGCTTTGCTTTCTGGGTGCCTGACCCGGTCAATGGCAGACACAGAATGCTTCCAACCGCACGGGAGTTTCTATAGGCCATTGCTTCCCTTGCCTCTCTGAGAGGGCCAGGTTCTGGCACGTGGTCTCTGGTAGGCCCATAGAACTCCATATACATGACTGATGCCAAAGTCTGACATTAGCATATCAGCCTGGATAAGCTACGGGGAGCCTCCAGGTCTCGCCCAGAAAATGGCATTTCATTATATTCAACGCTGGTTTTTTGTATTGTTTTAGGTGAACATGTCTGCCGGCAGCTTTGAGTCACCCCTGACCCTGACTGCTTGTAGTGGCCACACTGACCTTGCACTCCTACTTTTAGAAAGAGGAGCAAATATCGAGGAGGTAAATGATGAGGGATACACCCCTCTCATGGAGGCTGCAGGGGAAGGACATGAGGAGATGGTCACATTGTTGTTGGCTCATGGTAACTTTTGATCTGTTTTTATTGCATGTCTTGACATGTAGGTATTCCATGCATATCATAAATTTACATTGAAATTTGTTTCTGGAGGGGAAAAGAGGAATCGTGTATAGATTCAGTTTATTGGCACTTGCATTTTCAGGTGCAGACATTAATGCACAAACGGAAGAGTGCCAAGAGACTGCATTGGCATTAGCATGTTGTGAAGGCTTTAGGGATATTGCTGATCATCTTATCAAGGCTGGAGCAGACTTAGAACTTGGGGCCTTAACGCCACTAATAGAGGCAGCACAAGAGGGCCACCGAGACCTGGTTGAGTAAGTGCTCTATCCTACCCACTTTCATTTTAGGTTGTTGAGTGTAAGTGGATTTTGGTGGTGGTTAGGGTTTGGGCCATTGTTTATAAAAATTCTTAGTTCAAGAGTTACACAATGATTTGCATATTTTTTTTATTGTTTTGCAAAGAAAGTAAGTTTTCAGGTTACTAACTTGTTTTACACATTTATAGTTGTTGTATAGTCCATATTTTGAGATGCCTAAATACAGTAACTTCAATACTGCAGTTAACTCATTAACCCTATATTTTATTTTAGAGATAAAGGGTAAATTATAGGTAAGAACTATTTACACATGCTTGCATTTCTCACAGTATTTTTTCAGCAAGACTAGAGCATTATTGATTCCTGCTACTACCATCTTTCATTAGGCAGTACTACCACCATTGCAGTGTTCCCAAAATCTCCCCTAGCTCCCCACACATCCCTGACTAAATTTACACCCAAAGAGCTGGGAACGAAGGGAGGGAACAATCGCAGCATCGTTAAATTAATTTAAAAAATCTTCCTTTCTTATGCACTCGGTCTATTTTCTTAGCCATCTCACCAAGTTGCTCTGTCTACCTATGGTGTGTGTGCCTTGTGGAGGGTCTGGGGATCAGAGGCTCCGTGGCCCAGTTTCCAACCAGGCTGTTGGACCAACCTGTCCTTCTACAGAGAACGTTGCATTTTGATCGTATGAGTTACAGAAGGCAAAAAATTGTCGTACTAAAAAACGGAAGCGGCTTGCGAAAGTGACGTAGTCCCGATTTCTGTTTTGGGTTCTATGGTAGGTTAGGAGAGGGCACTTTATATTAACAATTTTCTTGACATTGACGTTACACGAAAATTGATGTTATCAAACTGAACAAGTATACACATTTGGCTGCGATGTGCAAATTGGTGCTCGTTCACAGGTAACTTTAGGCTTTGCTAAAGGGCGTTATGCTTGTTATGAGGTTCTAAGAGGACCATATTTTCTCCAAGGCGATAAGTACCCCCCACATAAACTTGAACAAATAAACATATATAATATTATAAATATACTGTATGCATATTATATATACATATAATATTATAAATATACTGTATGCATATTATATATACATATAATATTATAACATCACAAACCCAATATGGAGGTGTGTGGAGGCTGCCTTAAGTCACTTCGGAAGACTGTTGTAGGCATTGTATGGAACATTTGTAACATAAGATTTCACCCGAGTTGTACAGGATTACCTACACAATATGCACACCCGGAAGGTAACTACTGGATCTGTCAAAGTGGCAGACAGATGTGGGAAAACATTACCAAACTAATGAATAACATTCCTGAAGTACACAGGCTACAATTCACATAAAAACTAACAGAAATATATGCAGAGTATATAAAGACAGCAACGAACTCTGAGCACAACCCAAGGACTGAGAATATAGAGAGTCAAAGTAGCAATGTAGAAGGACATAGTGTCGAGGTACACAAAAATGAAGGCAATATTGTAGAGCAAACTGGTGATATGAATAAGGAGATAAAAAATGAGACGAATGAGAACACAAATGAGAAAGACGAAAGCAACAAGGAGAAAGATAAGGACAATACCGAGAATGAATGCAGAAACGAGAAAGTTGGAACAAAAATCAGAGGTAGCCAAGTCGTGCACGGGTACAAACAAGAATAATACAATCACAAATGAAAATTTTTGCAGGTATTATGCAAAAGGACAGGGCAGATATGGGCCCAGAGGCACGGAATGCTCATTCATGCACCCACGGAAATGCCGAAACTGGTTAGGGAAAGGCAGATGTTGTTTTGATGCAGAGTGTAGATATTTTCACCCTAAGCTATACAAACTCTGTTAATGAGAGGAAATGCTACGATCTTCATTGCCCCGATTGCCACGTCAGAGGTACACAGCGCTATATAAGAGAGGAAGTCCAATATAATAGCCCTGAGAATTTTTTAGAGGCAGGCAAAAACAGAGGGAGAAACACAGGCAGAAACGTGGCAGGAGTACGGACGGAGAGGGGGAAATGCCCAAGACTGGACTACGGTTCGTCATCAAGCCCACACATACTACACCCCCCAACTACAGAGACTACCACACTCCCCAGTATCACTTCCAAAACTGGACAAACCATTGCCAAAACAACACACCCTGGGTCAGGGTAGAGAGGGAGAACTACCAAAACCTTCCAGAAGTGACACACAATATAGACAATCATTCATATTTGCAAACATTCAAGGTTTAAAGCCAAAGTCAAGGAATAAAGTTAAGTTCATAAATGGCCTCCTGTTAGTCAAACTCATTATTTGGGACATTCACGGAAACTCGTACAAAAGATTACATGGATGGTGAAATCTGGATTCCAAATTATAATTTATATAGATGTGATAGAAAAACTAGGTCAAATGGAGGAGTAGGTCTGTATATTAAAGAGGACCTGGTGTGCACAGAACTACTAAACTCAACTAATGAGGTGGTAGAGGTACTTGGAATTAAGGTAGAGAAACTAAACCTAATTATTATTCTAATATATAAACTGCCAGATACAATGGTTGAGGAATTCACAGAGCAGATGCACAAAATAGAGAACATACTTAATAACCTAGCAAATCCAGCTCCAGATATTATCTTCCTTGGCGATTTCAATTTACCGAGTCTAAGATGGAGAATGGCAAACACAAATATCATAGCAGGGAATGACCCGGGAAATAACCAACCACAGGTCAGAGAACTTTTGAGATTCTGTGACGAATTCTCGCTCAATCAACAAATTACAGAACCAACTAGGAATGAAAACACACTAGACTTGTTATTCACAAACAATGATGAACTAATCAGAGACATAACAATCTCAGATACTTCATACTCAGACCATAAGCTCATTGAAGTGCGAACTATCATAAATAATGGTAGTAGGTCTAAGAGACCCAACAAGCGAGAAGGAATATTCAATCAATTCAATTTCAACAATAAGAGGATTGACTGGGAAAAAATAAATGTAGACCTTGCAACCATTCAATAGGAGACGGTCTTAAGCGACAAAACTACCACACAGGGAATAGCTCAACTGACAGCTGAAGCTTACAAGGTCTGCTTGAAGCACGTGCCTGTGAGGAGGGGCAAAAAGGGGACCACTCTAGAAAGAGAACGCAGACGACTGTACAGGAGAAGGAAAAAAATAACGGAAATGCTTCGGCAGACACAACTATCACAAGCAAGGAAAATAAGCCTAAGTAGGGAGATCGAAGAAATAGAACAAACGTTGAAGCAATCATATGAGTCTGAGGAAATGGAATTGGAACAGAGAGCTATACAAGAGAAGGAAAACTCCAAAATATTTTTTCACATACGCAAAATCAAAATACAAAACCTCGACCTGTATTGGACCGTTAATTACAAATGAAGGTACGTACACAGGACAACAGAGAGATTAGTGAAATTCTAAGAAGCCAGTATGAGGCTATGTTTAGCACCAATAAACAACATGAAAGTTGATGACCCAGACAGCTTCTTTATGAATGACATTCAAGCTGCAGATAATATAACAGATATTACCACAAACTCGGAAGACTTTGAAAGAGAAATTGACAATATGCCTATGCACTCGGCTCCTGGGCCTGACTCATGGAATTCGATATTCATAAAGAAATGTAAAGTACCAGTAGCGAGAGCACTCGGCGTAATATGGAGAAAGAACCTGGATACAGGGAAGATACCAGCAGCATTAATATCTGCAGATATAGCTTTGTTGCACAAGGGGGGGGAGTAAAGCTTGGCAAAAAATTATAGGCCAGTTGCACTAACATCACACATAATAAGTGTTTGAAAGAGTGATTAGGAATCAAATTTCTAGTTTTATGGAAAACATGAATTGCACAATCCAGGACAACATGGATTTAGAGCGGGAAGATCCTGTCTGTCACAGTTACTCAACCACTATGACAAAATCACAGAAGCCCTAGAAGAAAAGCAAAATGCAGATGTTGTATACACAGACTTTGCAAAGGCGTTCGACAAATGTGACCATGGGGTGATAGCTCACAAAATATGGTCAATGGGAATAACTGGAAAAGTAGGACGCTGGATACTCAATTTCCTGTCGAACAGAACGCAGAGTAACAGTCAATCAGATAAAATCGAGTTCAAGCGATGTTAAAAGCTCTGTACCTCAAGATACAGTCCTTGCACCGCTACTGTTCCTTATTCTCATATCTGATATAGACAAAAATACATGTCACAGCTTCGTGTCGTCCTTTGCAGATGACACAAAAATCAGCATGAAAATTACCTTTGCTGAAGAAATTGAAAAAATACAAGCAGATGTCAACAAAGTTTTCGATTGGGCAGCAGAAAATAACATGATGGTTAACAGTGATAAATTTCAGGAACTCAGGTACGGCAAAAATGAGGATCTGAAACATAATACAGAGTACAAAACACAATCAAATTTTCCCATAGTAGAAAAACAGCATGTCAAGGATTTGGGAATAATGATGTCCGATGATCTAACATTTAGGATGCATAACCAAGCAAATATTGCGTCAGCCAGAAAAATGATCGGTTGGATTACGAGAACTTTCAAATCTAGGGATCCCATCACAATGGTTGTACTCTTCATGTCACTTGTGTTGTCCCATCTCGAGTACTGCTCAGTACTCACTGTTGGGTTATCTGGGGCTTGAACTCGTATATTAAATTATTTGATTATTATATTTAAATAAATCGAAGGACCACCCACTTATGAGAAAAGAGGGAAAACGAATAATGGTGATTATTAGATTGACACTAGAGAACCAGTGTGTATGGATAATAATTAAATGTATAATCATTTGAAAATAATGAATAGACTGTATTATTAATTAAAGTCAAAGCCTCAAATATCAACATTGGGGGGGTATTTCTAGAAGTTCATATATATCTAGGAACCAGTGTGGTTCGTCACTAGTTCATTGTCGAGTTAGTAACATAGCAAATCTAAACTAATATAGATTTAAAGAT